GCACTCAATCCATTGGATATGTTTTGAAGTAGGAGAACTCAGGGCTCCAGTCCTAGCCTGGTCATCATTAGCTGTGTGACACTGAGCTACCTACTAACAAAATATCTCTGAGTTCCATTTCCTGACTCCTGCAATGAAGACAATACTACTAACTTTGTAAGATTATTGAAAGGATTATATGGAAAGGATTATATAGGAAAGCTATTAGAACAGGTTAGTAGTTTAATCTACTATTGCATTATTCTAAAAAATTAGCTATTTATTTTTCATTTGCTCTCACAGTATCATTTCATGGCTGGCTATTTGGCATACAGGCCAAAAAAAAAAAAAAAAAAAAAAAAAAAACCTACTTCCAATAATTCTGCCACAAAATCTACCTTTTTTTCTCTTTATATCTTTTATCATTTAATGACCATACTGTGATAAGTCATAATATTTTGCAACCTCCCCCTAGAGCTTATATGACAGTTCATTTAAATCTAAATTTTCTGAAATTCAGCATAATTTGTATAGTTACTACTTACTAAAATACACTAATCTGATAAATTTATAACTACCCCTAAATTGTAATGTCCTTCAGAATAGACATCAGTCTTACTCAGTTTTCTCATAACTCACAACAAATAGTGCTTTTCTCATAGATGATACTCTACACAGCTGATACAAACGAATGCATGAATTTATGTTGAGCTTAAATTATAGACGCTGATGTCAGAGTTTGCTTTTCTTGTACATTTAAAGATATTACTCTATGTGAAATTTAAAAAGTTATAATATATATCTACATAGAAAATAACACTAAAAATTATCTAACAATTTAATCTCGTAATATACATTTCTATATAAAATTTTTAAAATAGAGCATTTTGTAAGGCAATTCACTGATATTTTCCTTATTCCACAATAAATGAAACCAATTCATTGCCATTTGGATAACTAATATGACCATTAAAAGAAGAATTATCCTCTAGTATCATCTGTCTATTTTATAATTATATAAAATGTATTTTAGGGATTTAATGAAGTTATTTTTAATTATCTTTAAATAATGGCATTTGTTGTAGTAACACCAAAAACTTAGGAATATTTGCCTATTCAAACTTTCTAATAATTTTAATGAAGTAAAATTTGGAGCATCCATCTCTTTAAAAATTTTCAAGGTTAATATAAAAACAGCAAAGCAGCAATGCATAAAAGAAGTATTAGAAGTCTAATAAAATTATTTGGACCTCTAACTATAGCAACACTGATTAATGACTGCTTTTTAATTAATTGGAAGTTGTTCAATCATTGTGCCATTTCATTTCGCCTGAGAGTTTTTATAAAAGGGTCAGGGCCAAAACATATGCTAGTTCAATCTGCAATAAGGTATACTTACACAACTTCGTTCTTCTTGGCAGGGCAAGTGTGGGCTATTTATTTCTCATTCATTCACTGTGATGATATCCCTGCTCAGTTGGCTAGTTTGATCAATTAAGACAGTCTTAGGCATTAGAATATGAATAAAGTTTACTTTTAAACTGTACATTCAAACAAAATAAAAAACCACACAATTAGCTAGTCCTATTACATAATTTTTAATTACTACATGACATGTGTTAAGCTTCTTTATTTTTCAAATAGATATCTAGTCTTTCTTCCACCAGACTTTCTTTTTTTTTGAGACAGAGTCTCACTTTGTTGCCCAGGCTAGAGTGAGTGCCGGCAGCCTAGCTCACAGCAACCTCAAACTCCTGGGCTCAAGCGATCCTCCTGCCTCAGCCTCCTGAGTAGCTGGGACTACAGGCATGCGCCACCATGCCCGGCTAATGTTTTCTATATATATTAGTTGGCCAATTAATTTCTTTCTATTTATAGTAGAGACGGGGTCTCGCCCTTGCTCAGGCTGGTTTCGAACTCCTGACCTTGAGCAATCCGCCCGCCTTGGCCTCCCAGAGTGCTAGGATTACAGGCGTGAGCCACCGTGCCCGGCCCAGACTTTCTTAATGGTTCTAAAATCCACACAATGGTCTTTGGATACATAATGGAATGGACTACAGGTCTATTTTCAAAATATTTCTTTGACATCATCCTTAGATTGTGAATATACATATATTGATTATGTGTTATGTCCCAGTTCCACCTATGTTGCAGTGAGTTAATATAACTTCTTAGAATGTATACAGTAGAGTTTCCTAATTTGCATGTAGGTAAAAACTACAGCCAATAGTCTGGAGTGGCAGAGCCAGCATGTGCACTAATCATGTTGATAACTAAATTAAGGTTCTATAAGTTTAAGATATCTAAGCTTTCAGGAATCAATGACATTTTCTTCCACTGTGAGATTTCATACTTCCTCCCATTTTCTAAATGATTGAAACTCAAGGCTCTGAAAGGAGGCAGTGGACCTAGTTCTTGTGAGTGAACTCATTCTATGATGATGTCTTGATAGTCCAGGGAGGCACTGGGGAGAAAAAGAACTTCCATAGCTATAGTACATGCAACCAATAAACTATAATTCACCTGAAGTTAGGTATGGGGGCCCACCACTCCTGTATCAACCAATGAAATATGGATGTGTTTTGTGTATGTGTTAATAGGAAGGTTTAGGTTAGACTAGATTGTTTCTACTGAATAATCTTTTATTATGGACAATATGTCTATAATAAGATATTCAAGGGACTCCCTCGATCAGTTGTCACTTATTATGCCCAGGCCATTGAAGTGAACGTAACATGGGTCACAAAGATCTTATATTCCATAACTTAGACATCTTATTTTAACCATATTTCTCAAAGATCTTAAAAAACTAAAGTTTATTTTTAAATCATGATAGAGTTAAGTTCCCAAAATTTTTTATGAATGAAATAAATGACAGCATGAAAGGAATGAGGAATAACCTATGTAACTGTAATAGGATGCTGTATGAGAGTGGAGATGGACACCACATGTGAAGGGAGACTTCAGGAAAACAACTTAAAGAGAATGGGGGTAGAGATTTCCCCCAAAATGGGAGAATGGTATTCTGTTCTCCCTAAAATATGTCTGCTTAGGCAGCTACCTTGATGTTCTCATCCCTGACCAAGGAGGGAAGATTTGAAAGGAGATGGCAAGGCAGAGAAAACACTCAATAGAGAAGCAGCCTGTTATGCACCTGTTTAACTTGGCAAGGATGTGTGAATTTCCTCAGGGTCAAGTGGCACAGCAGAAGGGAGCTGAAATTGAGAAATCAAAGTATTAACTCACCCAAGAAGGCTTTCTGCCAAGTAAAGGATCCCTGGAACTAAGAAGTTGTGTGGCCTACCATTGGGTGCCCCTATCATATTTTTATGGAGATGGGATGCCTGGAGCCCCCAACAACAAAGAACTCACAAAATCACATAACAAGAGACTTAATGTTTGGACAACTGCTTTTACCAATAGTTCATTTTTAGCCGTTAAAGCATTGGCCACCAACTATATGAAGAGAGGCTTATGCATTTCTATTTCTCTCTCTTCTTTCTACTTTAAATGACTGGAGATTCTATCCCCCCCATTCTGACAGAATCAAAGTTACAATTAAACTGTCTTTGAGTTCTTCAGATATCTATTGCCATATAATGACAACTCCAAAATGTAGTTGCTTGAAATACTTATATGTTCATATTTCTTCATAATTTTGTGAGTATGGATGTCGGCAGGGTTTGGCTAGGTTAAAATTCCATTTTGCATGGCACTGATGGAGTTTACATGGGAGTATTCAGCTAGTAAGTGTACTGGACTAGAGGTTCCAAGATGGTATCACTCACACATCCATAGAAGGTATGTTTGGAAAGCAGAGATGAGAAGGGCTTGTCCACCGGAGCACCACCACCTGTCCAGTGGGCAGCCTTAGGGGACTCAGACTTCTTTCACGACAGGTCAGAACCCTAAGAGTAAGAGTTCCAACAAACAGCTGCATGTTCTTCAATGTTAGACTTACTTTTAATAATCAGAATAGCCTAAGAGTAGTAAGATTAGCTAATGATATCACTAAGGAGTAGGAGAAGGTGTATGACTATCCATGTGTGGAAGCAGTTGTTGAAGATAAACAAAACTGTTTCATATTTACACCCCCCACTGAGTTGATACTGATCAAAACCCCTCAACAGAAATGTTCACAGCTCTTCCTTCCTGAAAGGTGAAATTGGCTGCCAAAGTGTTGTATATTTGCACTAGATGCACCAAATGAAATAAGAAGGGAACAAAATGAAAGAGACTCAAATGGGATTTTCCCAAACCTTTCAAGAGACCCTAAGCAGAAGGACTAGGAAGATGCACTTTTATTAAAAACAGATATGTCGAGAGCCAAAGTCACCACTCCCACCCTAATCTATTACTTGAGGAAGTTTTGATAATATTCCTGACTGTTCAGTCAAACAAATAAAACTTATAATCACTTTCAGTCTAGAGGAATCTCTTCTGAACCAAGCAGAAACTAATATAAGGAACAAGTCCTAATATCACTGTAGATTCTGAGCAACTCCTTGAAGAATTGCAATTAAAACTCCTATATTCCTATATTGCACAGTGACATTCATTGAAATATAAATTCTAATGAAAAGGGGAGAGAGGGAAGATGGATGATTTTTAAAATGTCCTCTTCAAGTTCTGAAAATATTTCAGAACGGGTGATTTTTATGTGATACTTATTTCTTCTTGCCTGGCTCTGTGAAACTCCCAACGATATATACAAGAAATGCTGTGTGGAAGAAAAGTTGAAACTCTGGTGGATTTTTGAAGGCAACGCACAGAAAAGGATGAGGTCACTCAATGAAATGCACTACTAGATATTCCTGCAATCCTGCAAACAGGGCTCAGTGGCAGCTGTCACAATTTCTCTGGACTTATGCTATGAGGAAAAGGAGCAGGTTTCTGAGTTTCCCTGGGAGACCACTCAGCTGTCAGTCCAAAAATGAAAAACACCTCAGCAGGGACTCATTTAAGAGTCTTAAATCCAAAGAACTGCAGTATAACATTGATTCTGTCCATGCCATACTTACTAACTTTACTCGCAATTATGGAGAAATTATACTGCGCAGTGCTTTCTCTGTCTAGTAATTCATTAGTGGCGATGGTTCCTTCAGTTCCATCTATTGTAAAGTAGCTGTCCCCATCACTCTTCCAATCTATGAAGTACCTGTATATGAAAAGAGTAGATGCAAATGTGCAATGATTACACATTAATCATAATGGCAGTTAGGCTAACTTGACACAGTTCCTTATTTTTCTCCCTGTGGCTATTACCCACCTTGCAATAAAGAAGAGTGTAAATGACAGCTTCTTTATTGCAAAGTCAGTATGCTCAAGGGGAAACTGGAAATAATGAAAGATTTAGTACTCCTGCTGTTCATATTATTTTAGGGTCTTGACACCTTGAAAGCTCAGCAGAGACTAAAATTCTAAAGCTGACCATGAGTTTCCTTAACCTACTGAATATTAAAACTTTTTCAAGCACTAAAAAAATGCCGTAATGATGGCTGTGGCTGTGGGAATGGTCAGGAGTGGGGGAGGTATCTGGAAACAACTGCAAAGTACCCAGGTTAGAACAGAGGTTGAATCTTTGTGTTTCTGTGGATAGAAAAATAGCATTATGGAAAATAAGTGGAAAATTTTTAACTGACAATTTGGTAATTGTGCAAAAATATTTCTCTTCAAACACATCTAAAAGGGTCATTATTGTTTTGTTATAATATATATCAGGTCAACATTTTTTCAAAAAGCAGTGACCTTAGATAATGATGTCTTTTTGTCTTTTTTTATTATCTGATGCATTTGATAATAATGGGTGTTGCCTTATGTGAAGCAACTGGACTAAAAAATCCAAGAAAATTATTAACAAAATAGAAAGCACATCTTTGAATAATGGTAGACAGATGAAGGGATATTATATAAACTTGTTTTTCAAACATATTTAATTCATAACAATAGTTAAGATTTTTAAATGTGACCATATTATAGACAGTCTCAATTGTTACACATATTAATGTATTAAATCTCCATAAAATCTCTAAAAATTAGTATTTTTAATCTCTCTACTTTACATATGAGGAAACTGAAAGCATAGAGAAATGAAGGAATTTTCCCAGGTTCACATAGCTAGAAAGTTTTAGGATATTTGAACCAGATCGTTAATGTTTCCCATATAATTATCATTATATAGTCTTACCAATTTTAAATGGAACATTTTATGGGAAAGGGCTTTGCTGATCATAAGGCACAATGCATAATATATTTTTCAACATTATTCTGGCCTGGGAACCAAAGAGAGGTCATTCCAAATATTGTCTGAAAGCAGATGGCATCATTATTAGCCCATTGAAATCCCCAAGCCAAAGAAAGTCATCTTGCTCATCATAAAAAGTAAGGTAATAATAGCAAGTTATTATTTTACATGCTGGTTATTTGAAACTGTGAATGTTTGCATGTCATTCCAATGCTAGGTCAAAACTAGCCTGCCTTCATGAATGAGATGTAGGATTCTTAACTTGTCAATATTTGTTAGTACAAGTATGCATTATTTTATTGTGCTTCCTTTTGTTGCACTTCACAGATATTGCGATTTTTACAAATTGAAGATTAGTGGCAACCCGGTGGTGAGCAAGTCTATATAGGAGCTATTTTTCCAATAGTATGTGCTTGCTTTGTGTTTCTGTGTCATATTTCAGTAATTCTTACAGTACATCAAACTTTTTCATTACCATTAATAGGTTGATCTGTGAGCAGTCATTCTCAGTGTTAACTATATAAATTGTTTTGGGGCACCACAACCTGCACCCTTATAAAACAGTGAACTTAATAAATGTAGTCTGTGTTCAGACTGCTCTACTGACTGGCCATTTTCCCCTCCTCCTCTTCCTCCACACGCCTCACTTATTCCTATTCCCTGAGACGCAATGATATTGAAATTAGGCCAATTAATAATTCTCCAATGGCCTCTGTGTGTTCAAGTGAAAGGAAGAGTCCTGCCTCTCTCACATTCAATTAAAAACTAGAAATGGTTAAGCTTAGTGAGAAAGGTGTATAGAAAGCCAAGATAGGCCTCTTGCACTAAACAGTTAGCCAAGTCATGAATACAAACAAAAAGTTATTGAAGGAAATTAAATATGGTACTCCAGTGAACATGTGAATGATAAAAAAGCAAATCAGCCTTATTGTTGACACATAGAAAGTTTCAGTGGTCTGGATAAAAGATTATACCAGCCATAATATTCCTTTAAGTCAATGTCTAATACATAGCAAGGCCCTGTCTTCAATGTCATGAAGGCTGAGAGAGAGAGGTAAGGAAGCTGCAGAAGAAAAGTTTGCACTTAGCAGATGTTGGTTTATGAGCTTTAAGGAAAGAAGCCATCTCCATAACATAAAAGGGCAAAGTGAAGCAGTAAGTGTTATGTGGAAGCTAGAGCAAGTTATCCATAAGATCTAACTAGGAACACTGATCAAGGTGGCTACACTAAACAACATATTTTTAATGCAGATGAAATAGTCTTCTATTGGAAGAAGAGGCCATCAAGAACTTTCATAGCTAGAGAGAAGTCAATACCTATTTTCAAAGACTCAAAGGACAGGCTGACTCTGTCTAGGGACTAATACAACTGGTGGCTTGAAGTTGAAACCAATGTCCATTTTTTTAAATTCAGCATATTATGCAGGTACAAATGTTTAAGTTACATATATTGCCTTTGCCCCACCCAAATCAAAGCTTCAAATGTGTCCATCTTCCAGACAGTGTGCACCGCATCCATTAGGTGTGAACCAATGCTCATTTACCATTTCAAAATCTTAGGGCTAGGGCCAGGTGCAGTGGCTCATGCCAGTAATCCTAGAACTCTGGGAGGCCGAGTAAGGAGGATTGCTTGAGCTCAGGAGTTTGAGACCAGCCTGAGCAAGAGTGAGACCTCATCTTTACTAAAATTAGTAAAACTTAGCCAGGCATAGTGATACGTGCCCATAGTCCCAGATAATCAGGAGCAAGAGAATTGCTTGAGCTCCGCAGTTTGAGATTGCTGTGAGCTAGTCTGATGCCACAGCACTCTAGCCCTGGTGACAAGTGAGACTGTCTCAAAAAAAAATCTTAGGGCCCTTATGAATTATGCTAAATTTACTTTGCCTATACTCTAGAAATAGAATAACAACGCCTTGATGACAGCATGTCTGTTTACAGCATGTTTTTATTGAATATTTAAAGCCCATTGTTGAGGTCTATTCCTCAGAGAAGAGATTCCTTTCAAGATATTACCATTCATTGACATTGCACCTAGTTACCCAAGACCTCTGATGGAGATATACAAGGTGATGAATGTTGTTTTCATGCCTGCTAACAGAATATCCATTCTGCAGCCCATGGATCAAGAAGCGATTTCAACCTTCAATTCTTGTTATTTAAGAAATGCATTTTTGTAGGTCTATAGCTGCTATAAATAGTGATTCCACACATGGAGCTGGGTAAAGTAAATTGAAAGTTTTCCCAAAAGGATTCACCATCCCAGATGAATTAAGAACATTTTTGATTCATGGGAGGAGGCCAAAATATTAACATTGACAGGAGTTTTAAAGAAGTTGATTCCAACACTCATGGATGATTTTTGAGGAGTTTAAGATTTCAGTGGAGGGAGCCAGTTTAGATGTGGTAAAATAGCAAGAAAAGTGGAATTAGGAGCGGAGCCTGGCAATGTAACTGAGTTGCCATAATCTCATCATCAAATTTGAATGGATGAGGAGTTGCTTCCTAAGGGTGAGCAAAGAAAGTGGTTTTTGAGATGAAATCTACTCCTGGTGAAGATGCTGTGAACCTTGTTGAAATGACAACAAAGGATTTAAAATATTACATTAACTTAGTTCACAAAGTGGCAGGAGGTTTTGAGAGGATTAACTCCAGTTTCAAAAGAAGTTCTACTTTGGGTAAAATGCTACCAAACAGTATTGCATGTTACACAGAAATCTTCTGTGAAAGGAAGTGTCAATCAATATGGCTAACTTTACTGTTGTCTTATTTTAGAAATTTCCATGGCAATACCAACCTTTAGCAACCAGCCCCCTGATCAGGCATCAGCCATCAATAGCAATGCAATATTTTTAATTAAGGTATGCACTTTTTTAAGGGAGAATGCCATTGCACACTTAGTGTAAACATAACTTTTGTACGTACCAGGAAACCAGAAAATTTGCTTGGCTTTATTGTGACAGTTGCTTTATGTGGTGGTTTGGAATCAAACCCACAATATATCTGAATTATTCCTGTAACTAATTTCTGAAACAGAAGATGCTGGTTATTATTAGAAAGGGTATGATATGTTAATTTGTTTTTGCTATTTATTTGAGGGGTGAGAATGCATTGATGATTTCAATGTAGTATCTTATATGAACGCTCTCAATAATTATAAATGAAGTTAAGGCACATTTAAAAAGTCAGGGAGTACAGAGATATAATGAGCCTAATTCTCTCTACTGTTCTTTTTTGAACAAGAAAGCATTTCTCACAACACTCCTTTTCAGTATCTCTATTTAACTTTTCATATGCCTAATTTAAGAAGAAAATTGCCACTGAAACTCCTCATGAATTATTATTTCTGGAAGAATTGTCAATGCAGACTAACTGTATTCAATTGCACAATTCATTAAATATTTGCTGAGTGTCCACTCTATACTAGACACTGTATTAGAGGTGAGGAATATAAAATTAAGTAAAGCATTATGCCCACCATTGAAGAATCATACTAAGTTCATACTAACTTAATTCTAATGAATTATAGAAATGTTACTCCTATGTAGGTGTGTGCTATTATTATATATGATATATGTATACATGTGGTTATATATATGGCATGTATCTATGTCACAAGTCCATAAAACATTGCAATAATTATGACATTTTATAATTCTTTGTAATCTGGGTATCCTGCCCCTCCTGGTAAGATATTATTATATATTCCTTGATTCGTTGCTGAGGGGAGAGACCATGTCTCCTCAACCACACCTCTCAGATGGACATTTCAATCAAACTGAGCTGGGACATAGGAGAGGGAGGGAGAGAGAAGGTTCTGGGACAAGTGACATAGTCTTTTGCTATTCTTACCAACTTTTAGTAGATTTTCGTGAATAAATGTTTCTTTATGTGGTTCATGCCCTTAGAAAATTTTC